ATATATACAGTATGTGTGTGTGTGTGTGTGTGTGTGTGTGTGATTTGGGTGAACTGATCTTTGCCACTGGCTCAGATTCAAGGTAAGAACTTGTTTATTTATTGGGACGAAACTCTTATTCTTCATACACAAGAATGCATAAGTGTCACATTGTGCATGTGTCACACTGACCTCCATGACACACCTTTTGTGCATCTCTGAACATGCGCTAGAAAACTCAACAGTGCAACTACACTAGAGCAGCCTGTTCAAAACACAGAAGTCGCCAGGTCCTAGTCCCTACCAAAAAGCCATTGCTGTGGTATGTCCATACCAGGTACTTCAATGAGATGGCACTATATAAATGCAACTTTTGTTTTTACTGTTTTCCTTGTTATTACCATGACAACAAGAGGGCCTTTCATATAGGAAGTCAAGTTTTAGGGATGCCAAAGCTTTAAATACAATCCAATGGACAGTTGCTATTTGGCAGCAGAAAAGGGGAACTGTGCACAACTGATGAATGCAATCTATTGGAGAGCAGAGCCTCCCCCTTCAAGCTTTTACTAGTAGAGGAAGCTGTTCAGCTTGGCAGAGGTCTGCCTATCCATCCCGGCACCTGCACACAGAAGACAGGACCTGCGGCCATACGGTGGAAGAGCAAGAATGCATACCGATGACGGACTGACCTTGGATCAGCCGGGTTTGACTAACCCTAGCAGTTCCTGCCAGTTGCATGGTGGTGGTACAGAGGGATAATCAGTGCATGATGCTGAATAAACCAAATACAAACCCCAGTCACAGAGACACTCCACAGGCTGACCTAAAAGGTTGTTATCTCTATAAACAGATAGCTGCAAATTAATGCAGAATCTGTAGGCAACAGGACATGATTTTGGTATCGGAAGCGTTCTGGTTTCAATTTGCATTCCATTTGGAGTCTGAGTAGTGTTGACCAAATACGTTTGAGATTAGGGCCAATATTCAATCTCTTCAATCTCTGAACCCATCTGCTATTGCAGATTTTTAAGTCATCACTAAACAGATATCTGCATATGAATGCATGTTGACATCATCTCTCAACTCCAACTCCATTCAAACAATGACCAGCACGTGATGTAGTAAGTCTTGGCCCAAATATCTACTATCTAGATATCCGATGGTTACACCCAAACCCCCGAAATATTATCCGTTGGCCCCAGAGGCAAAATCATCATCAGACCAATAACTGATCCGTTCCGAGACTGGAAACGTCATGACTCATCTACTGCTCACCAGAGTTGGATATTTTAAATTTTTCGAATACTCAGAATAATGTACTGTGTATAATAAACACTGGTATTGATCAGTCCATTATATAGACACACTTATCCCTCAGCATGCACAGTGGATTCTCCCATCTCATGTTCAGCCAACACTACTGCACTGTCTGAGCCAAAGGATGACATGCTTTCAAGTAACTTTTGATTATAGAACTGAAGTGAATATATTTCATATTTTTTTATATTTCAGTTAACCAGCAGAGAGTAGATAGAAGCAAATTACACAGTTTATAACTTGTTAACACCTTCTGCTTGTTTTGGTGAGCTATAGCATTTACCATGTGGGATGTAGCTCAATTGAGCAAGCTAATGCTAATTGAAGAGTTTTATTTCATCAATTTTCATTTTTTACTGTAAAACATTTCTTTTATACATTGTTGTTCACTTTAATTAAACCCTATGTTTGCACACCGGCAACATTGTCGGCTCAAATTTTCAGTGTATCTTTTCCCATACTAGCTAGCTAACGTTAACTCACCACATGGCACATTTCATATCGTATGTATTTGACAAATTAACAGATTTATTTGTCAAATTATTGGATTATGCTTAAAAGGCTACCCCTACATTTACATTTTATTCCCATTATTTCCTGTTAATTCCTACAGAAAGCTTCAACCTTGAATTTGCAACCCTATGTTTAGCTAAACAATAAGAAAAGCTGCTAAAAAGACTAATGATTCTGCTGACAGGATGTTGTGCTAACAAAACATTTCCTTTTCCACAGACTTCAGATAGAGCAGAAAGCTTATGGGTGTCAGCACATGCCCTGCAGCAGTCAGAAAGGCACACTATCTACAATACACAACTGACTAGTTGCGATGCGGCCCGTCTGTAGTTCTGCCAGAAGGGTTGACGTAAAGTAATGGATGCCGCTGCGTGGGTGGATGAAAATAAATACATTTTTAATACTTAAAAAATGAGTGATGTTTAAATATTGATGTTACAGTCAGAACCAGACCCACACATTGCTGCATGTGACTCTGCCACACGCGTGTTGGTACAGGATGACACTGACAGCTTGTCCAATCAGGCCTCCTTCCAAAGCCACGCCCCCAACTTTTTTATGGTAAACGTAAAGAACGAAACATGCCGATTGTTAGTACTCACAGACTGATTCGTCAATTGCCGTCATGAAACATCATGACGGCAATTGACGATAAGAATGTCAACAAAAATATCTAAAATATTTTTGAAGATTACCAACCCTTCCTTTAATTACTCAAAATACAAGGTGACTAAAAATGGCAACCATTATTTCAGTTTCAGCAACCAAAAGGCTGATGGCTGGTGGCCAGCCTGGCAACTACTTTTAAAAGTTAGTGTTGTACTGGTGAAGCATGACGGAATTCATATTTGGCCTAGAAGTGTGTTTCACCTGGTTTGTCTGGTCTTATTAGCCTCAAACATGGCCATGAAATGCTACTGTGAGTCACCCCAAAGACACAAGACTTGACATAAAGCCTGCAGAGTCGTCGTGGCGGCTGAGGGATTCAGTGTAAATGCATGTGAACCAAGCAGTTCATTTACTTGCTGTAGCTTTTGAAGCCAGAGTCTTCTTCATCAGAGAATACACTAAATATGCTTACAGTTGATTCTTAGAATACACCAATCCTTCAAGGAAATCAAAATAAATATAAAATCCACACTTTATGACTCCGTTCTTGTAGGCTCTTACTTCTTCTTTTTTTCCCCTTTCACACATAAAAATGCAGACACAATATATGCGGGAGAAAGTTCCCTGCATCTCTCCTCGCCTTCCAGGTGGCACTTCTAACTGCCGACTGCTTTTCCCCGCAATCAGGCCTGTTACTTTGGAGCTGATAAACACTGAGGCCTTCAAGCTGTCAGTGGAATTATTGAAGTATTCCTGCGGCCAGCGGTGAAGAGTAAACATTTTCTCGGACTGATAACACTAACATTATGGAGATATGCCTGAACACACACACACACACACACACACACACACACACGCACACACGCACACACACACACACACACACACACACACACACACACACAGACACACAGACACAGACACCAGCAATAACCAGGAGAAAAACCTCTGAATGTATTCAGGCCACATAATGAAAGTTAACATCAAGAGATGACCACAATATAGTGAAACAGTCCATCTAAATATAAATTAAAACCAGGCAATATACCAACTAACCTAGACAAAATGCCTTTGAATGATAAGAAACAAATATTTTTGCACTTTTACCTCCTGCCACAAATAGATTTCATCAACTAGCACAACTCCTTATGTTGTGTGTTGTGTACAATGTGTATTCCACTATCCAGCGTGCCAGACACAAGCTCAGACCTTAAGAAAACCACCGACTCACCCATTTCCTGGGTCGCCCCCTGGGTCTTTTCTCCCCGGTCGCCTCATCTTTCTGTGAAGACATATATTAAGGAGAAATACATGAATCATTCTTCATCCTGTCCATCACTTCACGACATGAACATTTGACGGAAAACACCTGATCAGCCAAGACGTTCACTCTGGCACACGTTTTAAGGTATTAGGGTGCCACACCAGTTCAGCAGGTCACAGCTGAAGCAGTGGGTCTGTAACTGTGATAGATGTTTATAACAGACAAGTTGACTAACCTGAGGGTTTGTTCTCAACCTGTCTGATCGTCTGACTGCTTGTGTTTCTTGACCTGTCTGACTAGATATATTTCAGAAGTAAAGAATATGCCTACATGCATTCATCAGAGCACTCACATAAGAATGTAGCACTGTCAGAGATAGATATATTTTGAATTCAAATCAGCTGGGGGAGTTTGCGTTTTCCTCCCGCTGACTGTCCTTTCACTTCCCTATTCTTTCCCTTCTGTCTGTAGGTCGCTGCAATGGAGAGAAAATGGAAGAGCAGCACATATAGAAATAAATCAAGTTAAGTAAATACACACTAAAGCGTCAAATGTGGATTAATCCACCGCTTAATATAGTCCTGAAAAAACACACTATTTCTTACTGTTTAACTAATGTTTGCTAAAAACTGCTGTTTTGGGAAATTAATTCAAATGGAACAAAATATTTGTGAGCTGAGAGGAGAACATCTTCCATTGTATCCACATCAGCATGCACATGGCATGAGTTAGAAGTGTGCCAAGTATGCGTGTTTACAGAGCATTCCCTTACTGTGAAATGAAAAGCTGGAATGTCCCTGTGTGTTTGGCTTGAGGGTAGGGAATTACCTTTCTTACTAAGATGATGTTTGTGGGAGAGATTAACCCTGCAGACCGTCCAGCGCAGTCAAAAAGCCAAGCTCTGCAGTCACCCACAATTAACAAGAGCAGACCTGAGTCAATAATTCATCGGATTTATCCCGGCTCTGGTTGGCAGCGAGTCAGGTGAGATCTTAGTCAAACTGCTGACCTGCGATTCATTTTGCAGACAATGACCAGCAAGTATCGGTGGTGTTGTAGTGGGCATGTGTGTGTGTTTCTGCAGCTATTTGGCTCAGTAAACACCAGCTCCTCTGTCATCCTGACACCGAGCACACGCCACCCAGTCTGGTCACATGGCAGCAGGTGGAGTGTTTTAACTCGTCACCTGCTGGATCCCAGATTCAAAAAAGACGGACCCAGACGCCGTTCTATCTGGACCCAGGACCTAAAACCAATTTTGACGGAGTGCTTCTATTTGAACCGGCGCAGCTTTTTCAGCATTTACGGCACTTGTTCAGCGGTGCAGGAAACACACCGACCAATGCATTGTAAATCACATCACGTGATGCAGCTCAGCTAATCAAATATGAGTATTCTGACAAGTTTCCTGACTCGAGTGAGATGATGAACTAACACGGGGGTGGTCACAGAGACCAGAGAGACCAGAGTCTTTAACAAGAATGAACAGACTCTTATAGGTTAATTCTTCCCACAGTTTATAACCAGTGTGTCTCACATGTTCAGAGACCGTGGAGGTAAATAAAAGCAGTAATGTGAAGCGCCACTACGAGACAAAGAACAACTCTTTTTAGTAAACGTAACATCTCACATCTGAAATGAAGGTCACAGAAAATAAACCCAAGAACCAAACATGATCAGAATCCTAACACATGTATTCACTGTTCAACAATGATGTTAACAGAGAGAATAGAGCTGAAACAAGTGGTTTAATAACAGATAAAGTCCATGCTCACTGATTTATCTTTTTAGATGACAAAAATATATTGTGGCTTTTTTGATTGACATCTCTTCACACCTGAATGAACTGAATTTAAAGCTGCAGGACAATTCAGTGAAATTGATTTTTCTAAAATGAATTACTTTATTTTAAGATGCACTTCTTCAAAAGCTTTCTGTTATGTCAGTTATTCTTTAATCCAGCCATTATTTTACTTGAAATAAGAAGAACATTTATGTATTTCTATGTATTATTTATAATCCATCCAGTTTAATTTGAAAACTGAGAATAATAATTGTTAATATATAATTGATGTGTACTTTATTTATTTGATTTGACAGCTGTTGACTACACAGAGACGTCACTACTACTAGACTTCTTGAATATATATATATTAGTGCTGGGCAAGTTAACGTGTTATTATCGCATTAACGCATTCATTAATTGACACCGACAATTATTTTATAGCGCGTTAACGCATTTTTTTATTTTGAAAGTCCGTGGAGGAAGTCTTCAGCAGACTCCGTTGATGCAGCTTGTGGAAGACATTTAGATAAACAAAAGCAAGACAAGCAGCGTTACAACGAGCACCAGCTGTTGCTCTGCCTGGAGACTACTGGACATCCTGCGGTAAAGTCAGCAGACACTTACATTATAGTGCACCTATATGCTGAAACTCACGGTAAACTCATTCAAACGGCACAGGTCGTGAGCGAGCGAAGGACTTTGAAAGTTAGCGGAAATATTAGCGTGAGACAACATCCGGTTTCTTCAGACGAACATCCGGTTTCCAGAATAAGCTGCCAACAAAGTATGAATTATATTCACATTAAGTATAAAACATGCTGCATCTCATGAGTTAAAGGGAAAATAAATATATATAAATATATATATTATATATATATATATAATATATGAAAAAGCAAACAAAACTAAACAAACATAGCACACAGTTTGTACACTTCAATAGGCAAGCTTATGACAAAGCAACAGAAAAGACCATGTCTCTGTTTTGGCTATCCACTCACAGTAGTGGCTAATACTATGGTGTGCACAGGAAAACTGGGCAAAAACTACTTAGAAGCCATCTTTCTTCTGCCTGCAACTGTTTGGGACCACCAGTGTGGTGAACAGGTAGTAGCTCTATTAATACGACTTTCTGGAGAGTTAGGAAGATCTGATCTTGTTATTGTGCTCCACACACTTATGCATATGTTTATAACGCAGAGATAATTCCAAGGTTTAATTGCTAATCTTACTGGCACTGCTTTGAACTAGATTTGTTTTATTGTTGTTTTATTTGTATTCTTCCCTTATTGCTGATTGATTTTAGTTGTGTCTCCACATATTGTGTGTGGACCTTGGCACCAATGAATGAGTATTCTCCCTCAATGTGTTTTCCGAGGTTTGAAATAAAAAATAAATGAATCTATGAATATAGTATAATAATCGCAGTGCCTTAATATTGCATAAAGTGTTTTAAATCTCTATTAAGAACCAACACAATGATGATGCCTTGTGATGTGATGTTCTAATGCTCTGCTTAATGTCTGTCATGACGTCTGTCATGACGTATCACATGTGTACTGTAATCCCAGTTCTCTGTTTGGGATGCTACATTTTTAATGTGGAGATTTAATCGTCTGAAAGACAACACCCTGTTCAATTAATCATCCGTGTGTTTCATATGTCTGAGCAGCAGCCCTGAATACCCAGCGACCGGACGGCCTCTCAGCAGGATCGCCTTCCACAGCCATTAAAAGTCACCATCACAGAGAAAGATTAATGTGACCATTTTGTGATCTGCCACTGCTGTGGTTCAAGGCTTAGGCAGAAAAAAGGACTTACTCAGGGTGAAGGAAGGACGGTGGTTTGGGTTTGACAAAATACTATGTCAAGGTTAGGGAACCATTAATCATCAAGGTTAAAAGAAGAAGGGTCACGGTTAAAGAAACCAGACGTTGGATGTGATCCATCCACCCAAACCTCCTCCATACTAAGTTCTTTGGGAAGCATAATAATTCCACAAAAGACAATAGTGATAATTCAGTGTGTCCTATTTAGGCATTTAAACAAACAACTGATGCTGTCAGATGTTTGAGCGGACAACAGTGTCATTAGGTCGTGCTTAGCCTTTAACCATTGCAGTTGCATGCTAGCCAGAAGGTTAACACTGAGTCTACAGCCGTGCTCCATGAGGCTGTACGCAAACGCAAAGCCGTGCTCTGAGTGGAATGCTAAAGCGTTGCTGTTTAGCATGCTACCGTCTGCTGATTAACACAAACTACAGCTGAGGATGGTGAGGGGGATGGGGATGTCATTAGTTTTGCAAGGATTTAGTCATAAAACAAAGGATTTGGCAAAATAAATATTTTAATTTGATCACATTCCAATAGGTGAGAAATTTCACTCAAAAATACAAATGCTGACCTGCGAACTGCATGCTGGGTACAGCTCGCTGACCGTGACTCGCTACTAATATGAATTGTTAAATGCCAGGCCTGCTCTGTACAGATAGCTCTTCATCGTTTGCTACAATATTAATTGTTATAAGTCAAACAGCATGCTGGGTACAGCTCGCTCTTAGTTGCTTGCTACATTAGTAAGTGTTACACGCTACACGGCATGCTGGGTACAGCTCATCTCGTCAGTGCCTTCCAAAACGAATATAACCGTCACAAAAAATATTTTAGTTTTCTGATCCACCTCCTTTATAGTCTAGGCTTAAAACACAGTGTTTATTTAATTGTTTGAATGTCACAAAACCTGCTTTCTTACAGCAAAATCTGTGTCCACGTGTGTTCAGGTGTGAAAGCAGGCGAGGTTTGAACTTGGTAGAGCTCTTTTTTTCCCCAACCTCTGTGTGAACCTAAACTTTTTGTGTGCAAAATGTCTGCAAGGAGAGGTTGTCTGAAAGCCTAAACCATTATTCCCATTCGTACGATTCATCACGTCGAGACCGCTACGACACCGTAGGCTTTTTGTCCTTCAAGTGTGGCCACAGAACAGGTCAGACACCCGGATGTGGGACCCTTTTTGTGTGAAGCACGCTGAAGCATTCAAACACTTTGTTCATCCATCCATCCACCTCTGCACCTTAATGGAAGTAATGACACAGCTGTAATTATTCACAAAGCTTTGTCAGGAGGTTATTTTTAGTGTTCAAACAGAAGACCACTCCTCGCCTCAGATTCAAAGACCTACTTTCTTTGTATTCAACCCTTAACCTGACATTTTCTGTAAATAATGCCTTGTTTTTCAGAATGGTGTGAAAAGTGGTCCGTATTTTGTTTAAATAGTCAAGTTGAGGTTTGCAGTACAATTGTTTCTACTCACAAGCTGCCGTGATATCTGTCAGAGATTGCAGAGGTGATTGATGTGGGGAGGGGAAGTGAACTTTTGAAAGAGTATAAGTTAAAGGTGTGGGCCGACCCCCGGACTCTTTCATCTGGAAAGATTGATATCTTCACTGTTTATCATAGCAGGACCAGATGAGACGAGACCGGATTACAGCGAGAGCAGAGTGGTTCACTGTTCAAAGTGCTGGGAATGTTTACAGTGGTTCATGGTGGCAAGGGAGCACTAAGGCTGCTGTCATCGTGAGCCTAACACAGCTTCATCTAACTAATGGGTGAAGACATGGGGGACTCGCCCTACCTCTCTGGGATTAACAGCGTCGCAGCCTTAAAAAGGTGAGGTGGGGAAGTTGCTGTAAAATTCTGAATCTTTCCCCGGGATTGTCTTTTGTTCTCGACTTTAATATTTTTCTGATTTGTCACTCATATCTCTCGCGTGCGCGGCCTGTGAGAGTGCTGCTGAGTTATGGCCGCGTGTTTCCCATCATCACAGATGCACAAACAGGTTCCTGTGGTTTCATATGAGTTCACAGTTGCAAGTGGGTTTCTATACTTGGGAGGTCTTGTTGAGGTACAGCGCTCTTTAGGACGGGAACATGCTTCTGCGGGCGGCAGACGTGCATAGGTGTCAATATGAGACATTTCTGTGTTCAATGATACATATGTACCCCATACACCCTCTGCATACATCCACAAACACATGTATACTCTATGTGACTCGCAGATGTGGGATCGAGTCAGTGTGACTTGGACTCGCGTCAACTCGAGTCATTATTTTGATGACTTGCAACTTGACTTAATAAATAAATGAACTGAGATTTTGAAGTTAAAGACTTGCGACTTGACTCGAGACATGGTGACCCGGATGACCTGTCTGTGTTCATCTTGCGTTTTCAGTTTAAATATTACATATCAAATGTTCAAAATGCTGAAAGAGAATGTCAAATGACAAAGAGAGAAAGCTACATTATGATTTGAGACGAATCCTCAAAATACCATCAGAAATGGTTTAATTGTTTTTTTATGATAAGAAATGAGGTCTGCATTACAAAATCCCTCCTCGTGGTACACTGAGGTGTTTTTGGCTCACCATTTTGGGCAGTTAATTTTTCCAAATTTAAGATTTTTTTTTTCAATAATCACAACCGTGTCGCCAGGAGCCACGTATTGATTATGTGATGTAAGTCGGTGAAGGGGAAGTGACGTCAGTGTGTGTGTTGTTCAGGTGCCGAGGCTCCTCACCTTCTGCGCCGCCTTGGAGGGGCCCTTGTTCTTACTTCCTTTGGGGCGGCCCCTCGGTCGCTTGGGGACAGGCTCTCCGCTGGGCTCCTGAAAGGTAAGGGGGGGGTAGGACATGACATGGGTGTCCAGGGACAGGAAACAAAAAGCTTTTAACCTCCTCCCCATTTGGTCATTGCTTTATGGTTCAAGACCAAAAGAGGGACAAAGGTTGTGTGCGTGCGCGCGCACGTGTGTGTGTGTGTGTGTCTAAGTACCATAGAGGGAATAAATGAGAGGGAACTATTATTCAGGCTGGTTTTCCACTTTTAAATGTCGCACAATCTTTAACTCTGACTCTCCACAACAACCAGCTGCTGTGTCTGAACGTGTCCGGTCTCTCTCACCCACAGTCTGCAGCCGCGTCCGTGGACGTGATTTCGGTGTGAAATGTGGAATAAGACTGTGACTCATCAGTGAATCTCATCCATAAACACATTCACAGAAAGTCATTGACAGAAACATTCAGATCCCCGCAGAGTTACTTCATGCCCGCACTTTTCTTTTCACTTATGTTGTCAATTAAAGACCATCGACCAGAGCCAGACTGTAAACAGGCGCATTCCTGGTCATGTGTATGGAGCCTATTCAGCATACATGAAGTCCCAAACAGCAGTGTATTTGGGGAAACATAGTTGGCGTTCCTTATAAATAGAATATTACAGGCTACTAAACACAAGAAGCTATGGAGGGCTGCACACGCTGGAACAATCAAAGCCAGCTCACTTTAAGACAGAATATAGTTCCATAAGACAGACTGCTAAAACTAACCCGGTAAGTCACCGCTAAAGTTTTACCTCAACTCTCCGACCAAAGCAAACGTCTAAAGGCGGAACAATGTGCAGATGGACTACAGTCTGGATCTCATTCTTCTGCCTGTCCGCGGAGCGCCCTCAGTGAACAGCGAGACACGAGCTTACTTTTATGGGCTTCCTCGGTCTCCCCGGCCTTCTCTTCTGGGGCTCCGTGGCCCCCGTGGTGGGCTCCTGGGAACCGGAGCTCTCCCCGGCCTCGTCCCCGCGTCCGCTCATTGTTCCCGCTGCTGCTGCTCCGTTCCTCCCGGTGAACAGAAAAAAGGGCAAGAAATAAAAGTGGGATACTTTCAATCCCTCACTTTCCCGGGTCTGCCGTCCGGCTACAAGTCTCCCGCTCGGGCAGCAGCACCGGCGGCTATGAAGCCGATCAAATGAGCCGGTGAGCAGCTTGGAAGGCTTTTGGCTCAGTCAGCAGAAGGAGACGGAACACCGGGGGCGACGGAGCCCGAGACGCCGAGCTCCGACTCAAACTCGGCTAGAAGGCACCTCGGCACCGGGGGCAGGAACCACGCTGCAGCGAGGCGTGACAGCTCGGCACGGATCGTCTGAGAAGTGTGGGCATAACAAGCGCATCCAAAAGCCCACTCCAAAAAAAAAAACAGGACCCACTCAATGAGGATGGGTTTAAATACAAAAATGGAAAAAAGGAAAGAAATCACCTCTCCCGTGGGTGGATAACACGGGTAGGGTGGGGGGGTGGGGGGTCTGGATGGGAGCCAGAGAAAACAGAGGAAGACGGAATCCTGGCGGCGGGCCATACATGGCGGTCCGCATTTATGAATTAAATTCACATTTTCACACGTTTCAATGGAATCCGCTGCTGCCGGACACTGAACAGCCATTCACAGTTCACTCGTGTGGAACATGAAGGAGGGACATGTAGGCCTATCGGCTCCACGCTGCAGTGTGAAGCTGCTGCTCATCGAGGACTTTTTAAACACTTTGCAGCCTTTTGACATGAACAGCTTCATACAAGTGAACTACACATTCATTAAGCCTGGTTGTAGGTGTAGTAAATGACGGTCCCTGTCGTTTGGAGTAATGCAAAACATTTGAAAACCTTTTGCTATGATCCCTCATGAATAATTCAAATCTAAGAGAATCACAGGGTCAAAATGCGAAGTTGACGTTGATGTTTTGCCTTTGTGAAATTAAAAGTGAGTGGTGATTTAGCTTTTTTAAAACATGAGGTGGTTAGATTTAGACACATTTTTCATGTGTAAAACATGTCTTGGTGAATAGTGCATTTTCATTTCAACTGTCAGGTGTGTGTTTTTCTGGAGCTCGTTGCGTTTTTCTACAATCTTTTTCTTTAAATCTCTGCCTGTTTGATTAAAAGATTGTCCACACATTACTATTATTCTGAACACATAGTGTAGATGTGCGCAGCTGTGAGTTTTAAAAGTAAAACCTGGACCAATGAATTCTCTGACCTGTGAATATATGCAGGCTATGTGGAGAATTATTCTCCTTGAGTACAAGACAATGCTCGTTATGCACGTGTTGAATTCTTTCACTTGGTGCGGCCATAAAAAGAAAAGAAAAAGAAAGTGTGGCTTTGAAGCACTTCGCTGTGGACGTGGAGTGAGATCAATTACACAAGAACAACAGACACAAAGAATAAAGTGCCTTACGTGGAGGACCTTTCCCACGGTCCTGTGGCCTCTCTCCATGAGCAGCTCAGTGAGAAGCAGCTACATTCTGAGCTTTGAACAGGAATATCATCAGAATGCACCTTATTGTACAAAGCATTTATTTTCACAACTGCAGAACTGCCCCTCTCCACAGAAACAGGGGGTTTATTGAGAGAATGTGTGGTTAACTCAGAGCCGGTATTCACTTCATTCATAAAAAAACAGCCCTGAGACCCCCCAAAGAAGGGGTTTGTGTGCGGTACAGAACCCTCCCCTTCAGACAGAGCGGCGTCGGCATCAAACCAATACAATTAATGGCTGCACAGATCCATTACCCAGGGCTGGTTTCAGCACACAGCTGAGCTGGGCACGCAGCTCCGTTTAAGCACAATGAAACCAGGAAATCAATGTGTTACTGCAATGAGATGGAAAGCTGTGTGTGTGTGTGTGTGTGTGTGTGTGTGTGTGTGTGTGTGTGTGTGGCAGAGGGAATATTGATTTGAGAAGCAGGAGACGTACAGAGGAGCGTTCCTGTTCTGCTTTAAGCCGGTGACCTTTCACCTTCTTTGGCTCGAGTGCCCTTCTGGACCAGATAAATGTATAGTAAGTAACATTTTTAAAGATGTGGTTGACAATATTTTTGTAGTGATTATTGTCTGAAATATTACCACGTTGTGATGTCATCCTCTTCCTTGTTGACAGTGAGATGAGTGGAACTCTTTCTTTTCTTTCTATGTTTTAACAGTTCATTCTTGACTGTGAAAGTAGTGACGAAGGATCCACTGGTTTCTCCCTGAGCTTTCAGCTACATCTCATGGCCTTCATCAACATTGGTGTCTCTTCAGTTGTCACGGTGCCGATATATAAATAATTAGATCATTTATTAACAATACTAACAACTGTTATGTTAGATTTTCAATCGTTCATTATCTGTTTAAACACAAGTTACAGTGGAAATATCTGCTTACACTAGCAGCTACATGTGTCGTAAACCATTTATTAATTCTTCACACTGCTTATGAATTCTATATGGGAGGATTAGAATGAAATGTTATCCCGGCACTAAATATATTATTACAGGTATGTATTGTGTACATATATAACTCTGTAGAGCCAGTTATGTTTTGTTTGCATATTTGCCTGAAACTCTAGTCCTACTGCATGATCATTTTGCTCTTTTTTGATTATGTATAATCTTATAATGTGTATTAAGATGAAGCAATGTTTTGACTGCTTTTATAAAAATATGTATCCTTACACTGTACCGACCCCACAAACTGTTTATGACTGATTTCCTGTTGCACCAGAGATATTGGAGCTCATCATTCCTGACACTGTAATGGCTTTGTCGGCTAAATTGACATATTTTTCTGTATGAAACTTCTTAGCTTGTTAGCAGCCGGCTAACAGCTGAATCATTTAGACTGAAATATCGTGTACACATTTTTATCTCTAATAAGTATTGTAAGAGCCAAATTCAATTTGAGGTAAAATATTTACTTGTACACATTCCCGGTGGATGTTGGCCTCCGCCAGGGCCGCCCTTTGTCTCCGGTCCTGTTCGTGACTTTCATGGACAGGATATCTAGGCGCAGCCTGGGGGTGGAGAACGTCAGGTTCGGGGGTCTCGGGATCGCCTCTCTGCTGTTTGCAGATGATGTGGTCCTGTTAGCCTCCTCGGATCGTGACCTCCAGCATTCACTGGGGCGGTTTGCAGCCGAGTGTGAAGCGGCGGGGATGAGAGTTAGCACCTCCAAATCTGAGGCCATGGTGCTCTGCCGGAAACCGGTGGATTGCTCCCTCCAGGTGGGGACGGAGTGCCTACCTCAAGCGAAGGAGTTCAAGTATCTCGGGGTCTTGTTCACGAGTGAGGGTAGGATGGAGCGGGAGATCGACAGACGGATCGGTGCGGCTGCAGCAGTAAAGCAGGCGCTGCACCGGACCGTCTTGGTGAAGAGGGAGCTGAGCCGGAAGGCAAAGCTCTCAATTTACCACTCGGTCTATGTTCCTACCCTCACCTATGGTCACGAACTCTGGGTCGTGACCGAAAGGACAAGGTCGCGGCTACAAGCCTCCGAAATGAGCTTCCTCCGTAGGGTGGCCGGGCTCAGCCTTAGAGATAGGGTAAGGAGCTCGGTCATCAGGAGGGAGCTTGGAGTCGAGCCGCTACTCCTTCGTGTCGAAAGGAGTCAGCTGAGGTGGTTCGGGCATCTAATTAGGATGCCTCCTGGACGCCTCCCACTGGAGGTTTTCCAGGCACGTCCAACTGGGAAGAGACCCCGGGGAAGACCCAGAACACGCTGGAGGGATTACATCTCCCAGCTGGCCTGGGAACGCCTCGGGATCCCCCAGAATGAGCTGGAACATGTTGCCGGTGAGAGGGAGGTCTGGGTCAGCCTGCTTGGCCTGTTGCCACCACGACCCGACCCCGGATAAGCGGAGGAAAATGGATGGATGGATGGATATTTACTTGTATTTACATGTTTAACTTTAATCACATCTGTTTCTACTTTGAATGTTACAAAGATGTTGTTATCATTTGTTATGGTAAGTGACAGACTGCCGTCACTTTAAAGACACTTAACGACAGTTCGTTACAGTTGTTCATAATATCTGGAGCAGTTTTCCGTGCTAAGTGGATTATGTTGTGGAACAATTTGTGGATTAACCTGTGCTTTAAAGTGTGTCGAGGTAATTGGTGGTACTTTTAGGAAGAAAGGAAGTTGTTTCACTAACTTGTACGAGAGAAATTGGATCAATAAAACACGTTTTGCTTTCACCTACAGGCGGTGTTGGTGTCAGCTATGTGCATAGGACCAGAAACATGCGTCAACTTAAGGTTTACACTCTGCTAAAGGTTTGGACGCTACAAGTATCTCTGTGTTTTTAATGTGTTTTTATAAACTTTTATAAGCGACGGTGTTAAAGAGGTACATGACCAACCTGATTACAACACAGACACACATTCCTTTCTGAAAGCTAATAGCTAACATCAATGTTAACATTTACTCTTTCTTACGAGAGTTACTGGTTACGATGAACTTTGAGTTTTTAAGGATACGTCTGATAATATGTAATAATGTATTTCTTAAATGATCATCAAATCCTAAAACCCGAACGAACTGTGAATGTATCTACTAATTAGTCAAATGTGTGTGTCAAAACCTGGTACATCTTCTTTCCCTATGCCATAGAGCGCCATTGTTGTTTAGAAATGGTTAAGAGCACATCAATGAGCCACACTGTTGCACTGGCTGACATGTTCCCTCTCTATGGACACACACACTGTAGTTTATTTTAACTGCCACAGATAGTTACTAGAGCGCCAAACGTGGATTATTCCGCCGCTGAAAATAGTCCCAAACTAATTCACTGTTTGCACTGTTTTGGGAAATACTGAGCTTTTTTAAAAGTCAAAGCTATGCATTCACAAGCTGTTTTTAGAGATTCACTTTGTGAGAACCAACGAGCGAGCGCGACAGACAAGTCGGACAGTAGTGAGAGACGTCGTTGATGTTCGTCTTTTCATGAGATTTGCTGGCTTTAAGAAATATATAGAAGAATGCCAGACTCATCCTTTCATTTCAGATTCACATGTTCTAATGCAGCTTTTCTTTGAGATCAACAGCTTGGACAATGTGGTGAATTGTACATCATGTTTTTGTAAATTCAAATACAGATTCAATTTCCTCTTTGAGAGCATATAGTAACTGCATTTAAAAACACATTCTTGGTCCCTCTCTCTGTTTTTTTTTTTCATTTTGGCAAAGCAGGAGGAGGAATAGTCCACAGCGTACTAAAATATCTGAGTTTGACCGCAGCCTCTCTGCCACCCAAAGTCAGTTTTAACTGTTTCCCCTCTACATATGTTCTTTCCGAGTTCCGTCAAAGCAGCAGCACATATGTCATGCATTTACGGTGAGAGGGCCGTCTGCCAAACACTTCAGACTGCTTAAGGATTTCTATTTCTATCTGTTCTCGG